ATTTATAAAAATTATTTAAAAATACAAATTTTAAAAATAAATCATAAAAAATTGGTGCATTTTATTTAAAATAATTCTGAATTTCAAAATATGAAAGGAAAAATCAAATAAGTTTAATCAAAAACAGATATTAATAAATAGTGTATATGTTACCGTGGAAAAAAAAAGACCGAAATTGGAGAATGTCGACTTTCACCGGAGAATATCAACATTCACCAAATACGTCGGTGAAAGATCGAATATTGCACTACATTCTTGTATATTCGGACCCTCACCGATGTATGTCGACAATCACAGATATGCTCTGGTGAAAGTCGAAAAGAGAGGTCATAAAGTGCCATAATAGTTAAGTGTTGCAATAAATAAGATTTGAATCACATAATTTGGTAAGTTTTTTTGACTGTTATTTTATTTTCTCATTTAGAACCTGTATAATTAAGTAAGTTTTTAACTTCTATTATTTCCTTTCTCATTTTGAATGTATGTGTGTTTTAGGTTCTTAAGTTCTTATTTCAAGTTCAAGTGCGTTTATCGCGACTGAATGACGGAGAGAAAAATATAATATTGTTATATTCAACATTCACCATAGTACGTGGTGAATGTCGACATTGACCGGTGTAGTCAGAAATAAGAGTGTATTTGGAAATATTTCGGACATACACCGAGAGACTATGTGAATGTTGACATTCACGGTGAAAAGTCGACTTCTCCAGATTCGGTGTTTCACCGTAACATATATATCAAATTCAATTAACATTGAGGAACTAAAATTTTGAGAGCTCATTTTTTAAAAACTACTCGTGCGATTCTTACAAAACTTGGCAGTTTGACATAATTTGAGTCGTAGAATCGAAATATGGAAAAACAATTGGCATGTGATTTCAGAAAAAGTCCGATTTTGTGTCAAAATACCTATACTATATAGATATTTTGACATAAAATACCTATATAGCAACCAACAATGCATATATATATACTATGCTATATAGTATAATAATGTTAAACAATGCTATATATAAATCTAATATATATCCTAAGTCGCGCTTTCGGGGCATGAAAAACGCAAGTTGAATTTCGTCAATCGGCCCAGTAGAACGGGAGAAATAGAACTGTCCCTGCCCCTCCCCCTTTTTTTTTCCAGCGGTGTTTATCATTTCAAAGTCTTGTGTACCGCCATGTTCTCTAATGGTTTTAAAATATATTTACTAGCTATTTATTGTCAATGTGAATTTTATTTTTCGCTGAGGACAACTTGAATATCGATCCGCATTTGGGGCTCACGACAGATTCCATCTATATTCCATTTATATTCCAATTTCTAGTCTCTGTGTCAATCTGGACACCCATAAATAAACGTCAATTGATAGAAAAAAAAATTGGTGGTTAATGGGTTAATCTGAGGGTTAAATTTCGACTGACTGCGACATTCACACATTCAGAATTCTAAAACCTTATCGTTCTCAGATATAATCAGTTTAAAAACAACTTTCAATTTGAACTGGGAATAAATATTTCTCTTCGAGTGTGTTCAAAGGAAAGAACGGCAGTAGATTACAAGTCACATTTACTGTTAATGTTTTTAGACCAACCACAAAAAAAGAGATACTCGAATAAATGTATATAATCTTCTTAAAAGGGAAAAAAATTCCTTAGTTCACTTAAAAATCTGAAATAGATAGCAAATAAAATATGTTTTATAGAATACATTGTTTCGTTCTAGTTTTTTTTTTTTTTTTTTTTTTTTTTTGTAGTAGATTTCCCCTTCTCAAAATGCAATTCGACGTTGCCCAGACCATTTCTCCCAAAGAATTGCTCATTGTACATCCATTCAAGCATCCAAGTCCAGTCCCACAGACATCTATTACGTGTCCTTACCCCTTCTGCTACAAGACATCGGCCGGTAATGGGCCGTGTCTGGCAAGCCATTTCGAAAGCCTTTCTTCGAACCGATTCCGTGTCATCCACCCACCCGATTTCGACCTCCAGGACTCTCCAAAATGGACCCAAATGAACCATTTCCCCTTCTGTGCAGAAAAGGCCTCATTTCCTGATGCTCATTGTTTGAGGCGTTGACGATTGTTTTGTTAGAGAATAGAAATCAACATCCATGCTGTTATAGAAGTTAGGTGAAAAGGATGAATTACTCAAAGATAAACAGCGAAAGGAATTATTGATGACACTGGCTGCCGCAAGCTAAAGCAAATTACTTTATACATGTATTTATTTACTGATGACAAGTTTGGTAACAAATAGTAAGTATTTTAAAAATTTTTGCATTATAAATCCTATAACATTATTTGAATGAAATTTAAGCAGTTCGCTTAAATTTTACATCTGAAATATATTTCAAATAAAATAATTAATTAAAATTAATTATTATTTATTAAATAATTAATTAAAAAATCTGAAAGCTTTCAGATTTTACATTACACCCAAAGGGGCGTTTTTTTAACGTTTAGAGTGTTACCTTTATTTACTAAATGTCAAGTTTTTCGCACTTAAAAAATAAAATTCAATTCAACGGCAATGTCCCAAAATAATTTTTAAATGGGCATATCTTTAGATTTTTCGATACACAGTCTCGCGAGGAGATTTTTTTTTTTTTTTTTTTTTTTTTTTTCCCCGTACAGTGTTGCCAAAGCTCGCTTTGAAATCGTGGAGTTTCTTAATCAAAAATTCGTTAAAGTGTTAGAAAATACGAAATCGATAATAAAACAAGTTACAAATTCTAAATTAGGATTCCCACATGTCCATATTCGGTGGAGGATTACGTTATTCAGAATTGGATGGCTCTGGGTACCGTCGTTTTACCACAATGCGAGAAACGTATATACATTTATGCTGATTGTTCACTATTTAAGTTCTTTAAATATAACACAAGGCGATAATATCGGCTGGCAACCATTTGAAATGTAAACCGACATTTAAAGTTTTAAACGCAAAATACCAAAACGAAATTAATAGCCCTTTCGGGCTAATATAAATCAATTAAATTTCTGTAATAAATAATCAGTCAAATAATTAATTAAATTTCTTTAATCATAAGATATTTGAATTCCACATATTGCTTATGGAATCGTTCTAATTTCTCTATATCTGTGTAGGAGTAAAATAAAATCGGTAATCTTTAGAATATGGTAACAGGTAGTTTGGCGACATTTTGGTAAGGCGATAAAGGTTACTAGCTAGGATTTTAGCAATAATCTGAGAAGTACACAGTTCGAACCACAGATTATTTTGTCTCAGAGAAATGAGAGATCACGAGACATGTCATGTGATATTTTCCGGAAAATTCCGAATGTGATTTTAGCTAATAAGCACTTAGAAACAATTTAGCTGCTAAAGTGCAGAATCGCCCACTTATTTCTTGGGCGCTTTTTACAAGAATAAGAAGAATTGGATTTTTGTCAATTTTCTTTGACTTTTTAAGTGAAAATAGGTCGATGTGTACATGGATAAAGTCAAGAGTGTGCGCAATGCCATTTTTGTGCAATTCTCGGATGTTTTTTGAAGTAAGAAAAGGTCGACGTGTACTTACATGGATACCGTGCATATGCAATTCTTAAAAACGCGGCAAGCAGTGGGCGATTCTACACTTTCTCTCAATTTCGCACCTAATCTTCGTCATGATTAAGCACTTTTGTTCCGTAAAAGTTCTAGCATAAGCGTAATTCGGCTAGCAGATTGTTGGAAAAAATGTTGAGTAAAAAAAACATGCCTTTAGTTTGTGAAAATAAAATGGCGTCCAAAAAACAAAAAAAAACAAAAAAAAAAAAAAAACTAGCAGGTTGCTGTAGCAGGGTTGGTCGCCAAAGTTTCGCCAAAAAATCGCCAAGTTACCATAATGTAAAGATTCTCCATGAAATCTTCTAACTTCTGGTAAGTAGTTTCGGTTCTTCGAAACGAATCGGAAACATATTTCCTACTTTGACGGATTGTCATTTGGCATTCTATAGAATACCTAGGAAATGTGTGAAATAGGAATCGTTTTATACACTGACGGCTAGTTTTAGGCATTCTATAGGACACCGGATATCAAACTCTGCCGCTAGCATGCATATATATCAGAGGAATTATCGTTTTTCTAAATTAAAATTGTTGAAATTAGTTATTTTAAGGGGACTCGTACACCTTAAAACCCATAAGATGTTCGAATAGGTGACTGTCGCAAGAATTGGGATAACTTATTTATTTTAAAAGCAATTACTACCAACTTTTTACAGCTGACTACATAATATAGCTGCTTTCTGAAATAGTAATCAGAACGTTTGTGTTGCCACAAATAATTTTATAATTTAATCCCTTTGTGACAAACATTTTTCGTCATGTTTCCAACTTGCGCGCACAGTTTTAAAAAACATGTGTTTCATAATTTAATTCCATATTTAATATATAGCTTTTATAACATTTGGAAACTACTGTGAACCTAAAAATTCTAAAAATTTCACGTTAAATTTTATTTTATTTTGAGTTAAAGTTTATAAAATATATTTATTAAAAATTTTTTAATGTTTTCGTCCATAAAATTTTTCAATATTAAAATAGTCATCAGATTGTTGATTCACTTAGAAATTAGAGCCCATGTAAAGAATTCCATCGAATTTCAAATATGTACCAGTTAGCATTTTAAAATATCATGCGCGCAAGGTGGAAACATGGCGAAATATTTTGTCACAAAGAGGATTAAATTACAAAAATATTTGTGGCAACACAAACTTTCTGGTTACTATTTTCCAAAGCAGCTATATGTAGTCAGATGTAAAAAAGTTGGAAGTAATTGCTTTTAAAATAAATAAAATATCGCAATTCTTGCAACAGTCACATATTCGAAGATCATAAGGGGTTTAAGGTGTATGAGTCCCCTTAAGCTATAATTTGATCTTTTAAATAATGTAATACAACAAGATCTTTTATACGCACTTATGAAAACATTTACTGTTCTCATGTTCACGATAAATTAACATTCAATCTAATATTAAAGAAATGGAAAAAAGACATACTTGAAGAATATATCCTCTGGCGTAATCGTCATACGTCCAGCCGAAGCCATGCAATACGTGTACGACCTCTTCATGCTGCAACACGCTAAACAGTCTGTCCAGCAGTATCTTCAGTCGGATAGGCATTGCTTCAGTACCGTACAGCATTAAGGAGGCTACGTCGAAAGCTACGGTAGGTTGCACCAGCTCTACTTGGTGACAGTTGAACAGATGACGGAATCCCAATTTATCTAATGCTGTTGTAAAAATGGGAAGCAAATTTTAGTCCTGAGCCAAATTACAATATGAATATTGTTACATGATTAAAAATAATGAAATATAGTACAATGTAGTTTCTGGTAGAATGCCCAAGGAAATATATAACTTTAAAATGTTGTCCCTTTTCACTTCCTTGTACGAAGTAAAAAGGAAGTATTGTAATCGCGAAAAGTTTCAGGCATCATATTTCAACGCAAATATCTATTTTCACAGCTATCGAATGCAATTAAACGATATTTTTCTTTGAAATCTGTTCGTAAGGACAGAAAAAAGGACTCTTTTGCGCCCCGCAAAAAAAATTGTAAAACTAATTTAAAATGAATTCTGTCTTCAGAATTCATTTTAAATTAGTTTTACAATTTTGTGTAAAACTTAATTTTTTACAAAAATTCTCTTGAATTTTTCGTGGCGTCTGTGGGTCCGTACGTATATATCTCGCATAACTCAAAAACGAGTAGCCTCAGAACGTTAAAATTTTGTATATAAGACTACTATAACATGCACCTCGTATTTTGGTTCCAATCGGCCGAGCCAAACGTATATAAATATATTATAAATATATCCACACTGTTACCCGGCTCAGTGATATCAGTTCTTATCTTTATGTTTGTAAATTGTAATTTTTTGCTTTAAAAATGGTTGAATTATGTTGTTTTATCTTCCGGTTAAAGTTTTTATGCCTTTAATAAATCGTATGCAAATATTTTTAGAATTATCAACAATTTAAAAGCTGTTAAGTGCGGTTAAGTTTTAAATAATAACATGGCGGACATATTTGTTGACATTTGAAACAGCAGAATAGTAGATTTGTGCGAATCTAGAGAGACTAAGCTTCGCAACACAAAAATAAAAAGCCTTCATTTATATTGCGAATTAAATCATGCTTAATCCTTTCTAGAATTTTTCGAGGAAAAATAAGTATTTAAGATTTACTTCGTAATTTTTAATACAGATTATTTGATTTTTTATGTATTTTTCCTTGTCGCGAAGTGCGAACTGAATTAATTGAATGAGAAATACTCAATCGTCGTGAAAAAAACTGTTTCTTTTCGTTTGTTTGCTTAATTTCTTTATATATCTTTCTAGCTTGTTATAGTATTTGAATAGAACATGTGACAACGATTAGATAATTCTTTAAATGATATAAATTTTGTGCATTCTGAGTCATAATATGAACGAAATATGTTAAGGACCAGAGTGTGGCTATGATAAAAAAATGTAGTGAATTTTAAAAAGTGCATTTATTCTATTTCGCTATCGACGAAGTAGATTTAATTCAATCCAATACGTTTAAATGAAATTCAAGAAAAAATGCGTATAATTTAATATTCCGTACAAGGAAGTCATGTTGTGGCCACATCAGATATCTTTCAGATGTTTTCGGCATGAAAACAGTTTGGTAGTTCTATTAATCGAATAGTTACACCAGAAAAATTAAAAGCTAAGGAACTATCAAAATCTGCAAAAAATGTATCAAAATTCTTAAAGTAATGAGTTACAAATGCTTTCCTTTCGAATAAGAATACACTACTAATAAACCTACAATCAAAAAACGATATACATATATGCAAGATAAAAAATGTAAAGCAAACATCTAAATTAAATTCGCTATAACATCTTTTGTTTTTATTTCTTTTGGGAACTTTATCTCTCTGTGTTAGAAATAGTGCTATAAATCTAAACTGCGTCATTCAACTTAATCGTGCGATCTTACGTAATCCTTAATGCAGATATCTCTTGCTCAATCAAAGTAATTCGTAAATTAAAACCTTTTTTGACTCCCTCCCTTCCTCCTGTGAAGTACTGCGACATTCTCTCTCTTTTCGCTTAAGCTTTCATCCTGTTGAGACCCTGCAGCAATGTTCTATCGCTATAGTATCAAAATTGTAAATGGTCTGGAAATAGGCAAGATTGGAGTACCACGGGAACTGTGGACACCAAAATGGGAATTTAAATAAATAAATACGGAATTTAATTCGGCTCGACTGCTTATTCTTCAAAATGGATGGACACTCTAAGTATCGAGTATCTATGCTATCAGTATTTCTGCGTTTCTACGTCTCAGTGCTGCCAAACTTGTGCTAATATTACATATATGTATATAAATACTTCTAAGATATAACAAAATACGATAGCTGCTTTAAAAATAATTGGCGATCTCCAAATTAACTAGATTTAGTGCTCTCCCTGTAAATCCATTTGTTCTCCCAAACTCGAGATCTTTCCATGTTATATAACACAGCCTGAAAAAGGTAACAAAACTAAAATAAACCAATCATAACTTGTCTCTACAATTGCATCTGCGTCGGTATCAATACTCTTGGCACAACAGTTACGTCATTCCTTTCCCTATCTTCCACCCTGCAAAAAACTCTGCGCTGCTTATGCCGTTTTGTCCAAAATGCTTACGTAGCACGTCTAAAAACCGTATACATGGAAATTATTGTCTCCTCACTATGATTAAAAAATACCTTATCTGCAAAAAGATTGATTTTTGATATGTGCGAAAATAAAGATTGGCGATTTGTAGAAATCTAGTTATCTTCATCAGTTACGCATTCTGTAACGAAAATACCAAAAAATCAGAACTACGCCGAGACTACCCGTCAACGGTTGTTCTGCGCAGGTTCTTAAACCTTAATAATAATTAGACGCAGTGAGTCTACTATTAGAATATCCGTTTACAATTTCAATATAAAGACATAAATCTTATCTACTTGGATTCTGCACATGCTTCTTGACGAATAAACAACTTTATTAATACTTGACATCAGTATTTACCCAGTTTCCAAAGCAGGAGCTAGGATATTATTCAATAAACAGAACAAAAATACGATGCATCATTCAATTGAATTCATATCAACGTTAAATTCATAGAACACTTCTGTCACTAAGCAAACGCGGATCAGAACGTGCATGGCAACGCCGAAAACTGATGCCATTCACAAAAAAAAAAAAAAAAAAGGTATATGTAAAACTCTCGTCATTAAAACATTAATAAATTAAAAGTCTCGTGTTCATTCAATAAAGTTATTCATAAAATTGTCTCGTGAATATTATTGATGTTTGAGGTTTATTGACGGCATTACGTAACACATTCAACCCTCAGCCATGACGGATATCGAAAGCTGTTAAAAGTTCCAGTGTTTTTTGCTAAATTATGACATACATACAGGGTGTATCAATACAGCGGTGACAAACTTTCAGCAGAGATAGAGTACTCATACACGATGGGAAATCACATAGCAATGCACGCTCGGAAACGCTTTCCTGGCGCGGCAGTAACGACACAAATCGCAAAAAAAGAAAGTACACAAATTCTGAAACAAAACATGTTTTATTTATGTACAGCAGAAACCTACGAGTAAGAACAAGTAATCTCAATCCTGTGGTCATCCTGTGAGCTTGTTTTGCAGGTTTGACACATTACATCCACAATTATAAACTTTTAATGAAATAAAAGGTTGCCAAAAACAGGAGGTAAAGAACGCTGAAGTGCGTGGCAATATCCGTTCCGTTGGCGATCAATACGGAGCACGGGTGCAGAAATTGAATTGTAAAATATGTAAAGCTATTTATCTTCTTTTATAAGGTAAATGTTTCGGTGATCAGTGTGTGAATAATAAAATAAGCTACGTGGGAAAAAAACTTGAATTTTGAATATCCTTGCCGAGCGCCGTTGTAATGTTATTTATGTATAAATTCATGAACGAAATTGCTTCGCATGCAGGCGAATAACGAAATTTTTCCTGGGCGGTATACTTCATGAAAAATAAGCTTCCTATAAACAACAATAAATCTCTAAAATGAAAACCAAAAACCACGATTCAGAATTTCTTTAACTGGAGATGTAATGCTGTTGTCGCAAACGTTTACAGCTTTAGTTCTTAAATTTCACCAGAAAATTTAGAATTACCATTACAAAAAATATATGTATTTAAAACTGAGAAACGTTAAATTTCATTAATATTTGAATAAATTTATTTCATTCTAACCCTTTAAAGCAGGAGACTTGGAAGTGTCATAACCAAAGAGAGCGATTATTTTAAGCCCAACTTTTATGGTTTGGTTTGTGTGATTACGGCAAAGCACTCGAGGGCTATCGGCCTAAGGGGAGGGATGCCTTCGTGGAGGACTTTCTAAGGAAACTGGCTCGTATACATGTTACGGTGAAACACCAAAATCTGGAGAATGTCGACTTTCACCGGTGAATGTCAACATTCACATAGTCGCTTATTGTATGTCCGAAATATTTTCCAAATACTCTTATTTCCGACTTACACCGGTGAATGTCGACATTCACCGTGTACTAATGGTGAATATTGAACATATAAGAATATTATATTCTTCTCCGTAATTCATTCGCGAAAAAAAAAAAAAAAAAAAAAAAAAAAAAAAAAAAAAAAAAAAAAGAAAAAAAAAAAAAAAAAAAAAACGCACTTGAGACTGAGAAATAAGGAACTTAAGAATATAAAGAAATTAAAACACACAGTACATTCAAAATAGGAAAGGAAACTAATAGAAGTTATAAACTTACCAAATTAGGTGATTCAAATCTTATTTATTGCAACAACTTAAAACTATTATGACACTTTGAATCGCACAAGAGGCCCTTGCTTTTACAACTGCATTTATTTGTGGGACACTTCCTTTTGGAATGGCAGCGTGTACAATGTGATTGTCGACATACACCGGTGAGGGTCCGAATGTACAAGAATGTGAAGAAATATTCGATCTTTCACCGACGTATTTGGTGAATGTTGGCATTCTCCGGTGAAAGTCGACATTCTCCAATTTCGGTCTTTCACGGTAACATACACATTACGCATGGGCAAACCATGAAAACGCCTATGCAGCCAGCCCTTTCGTGGGATTCGGACCTCGAACCGAAGTACAGTGTTCTGCGATTTTTACCGCTCGGTGGCTTTTAAGTTTTGACAAAAGAAAATGTAATTATTTGCTATGCTCAGTAG